GAAGTTACACCCGACACACCCTTTGCAAAGCCTGGAGGGTCGAAGTGTCAACGATTACATTCCAGCAGACCGTATCTCTCCACAATGTCAAGGTGACAATGCTGCAAACATGATTAGACAATTGCTCGCCCCTCTGTATCTTGCTAAGCTCAATGTTAAAAGTGCATTCTGCCGAATTCCCATCTGCCCGGAGGAGTGGCCCTTGTTGAACCGCTGGCAGGATCAATACTGATATGAGAGCGTCCTGCCCTTGAGACTGTACTACGCTCCAGGCCAGCTATATGGAACTCTGTCGTATCCGCCAGTGAATGGATTGTGTGCGGGCAGTTCGCACTCCCACGCCTGTTGCATTACGGGGAATACCTCAATTAACGTTTCTTCCTCAATGCATGCTCTGGACTTGTGTTACCTCGCCAGCAACTCGCTATTCTGCTCCGAGCGTTTACATACCTCGGTGTTTCTCTGGCCCCAGCAAAAGTGGAGGGTCCAGCTCAAGTCCTGACGTTATTGGCATCTTCCCATTACGGGAAATACCTCGACTAACGGTTCTGTCTCCATGCATGCTCTGGACTTGTGTCAGCTCGCCAGCAACTCGCTACTCAGCGCCGTGCGTTTACATACCTCGGTGTTTCTCTGGTGTCAGCAAAAGTGCTTCCTCGATGTATGCTCTGGACCTGTGTTAGCTCGCCAGCAACTCGCTACTCGGCGCCGTGCGTTTACATACCTCGGTGTTTCTCTGGCGTCAGCAAAAGTGGAGGGTCCAGCCCACGTCCTAACGTTTATCGGCGTCATCCTGGACACCCGCGCGCTCACGTCAGTCTGCCGATGGATGAACTTGCCAAGCTTCACGACCTCCTACGGGCCACTCTCAACACAGCTTCAACTACCCAATGTCAACTCGAGTATCTTCTGGGAAAGCTCTCGTTTGCTACAAGAGTGATAGTCCCAGGACGCACATTGCAGATTGTGGTCACTTGCCAACTGGTACCGGCAGCCGTATTACCTGATCAAGCTCTCCGAAGAGTGCCTCAAATATCTTCGCTGATGGCCTGAGCTCCTGGAATAGTAGAACGGCCGGCCCTTCTTCCTACACCCTAAGTGGACGCCGTCCCCAACTTGCTGCTATTCACTGATGCAAGTGGTGCACTGGGCTGGTGCGCAAACAATTGCGACCGGGGATAGGGCAATGGACAGTCAATCAAGCAGACCAGCCAATCGCAAAGAGTGGTTTGCAATTGTGGCAGCACCTGGGAAAGCTAGCGGCACCAGCTGCAGATGCCAATCGATCGGCTTTACAGCAACTGCGAAAATCTTGCTCATCAGTTGTGGCTATGGCCTGGCGTTATACACCGGCCACTCGTTCGAATCAGCTGCCGGACTCGATATTCAGAGAGGCGGGAAGGTGGAAAGCCATGTCTGCCCGAGTAACATTCAGAGTCCACCAGCAGCCAAAGCATGGGTGGCTGTGGCAATGGCCTCAGCCCATGATATCGAGTTCCTGTTAGTCGATCGTTACCGAGCTTGCACTGCTTACAAATTTCACAGGTAGCTGCACTTTGTGATCCGCTCTGGGAGTGCCGATTTTTGGAATATATGCTCTCAACTGGTTATGCATCTCTATATCTAGCATTTGGCGGCTCTATTCAGAGTCATTGGCGGCTCCATGCGGAGGCATTGGCGGCTCCATGCGGAGTCATTCGGCGGCTCCATGCGGAGTAATTGGCAGCTCCATGCGGAGTAATTCGGCGGCTCCATGCGGAGTCATTCGCTGGCTCCATGCGGAGTCAATTGCCGGCTCCATGCGGAGTCATTTGCCGGCCCCATGCGGAGTCATTTGCCGGCTCCATGCGGAGTCATTCGCCTGCTCCAAGCGGAGTCATTTGCTGGCTCAGCTGCGAGCCATTATACCAGTTGCTCGAATCGGCACTCCCAGCTTAATGCAAAACTCGGTTGCTCTGTTGTGAGGTGGGGGGATGCTAAATGAGCGTTAGCATGCTAACGTGAGTTAGCAGGCAGCCCAGCGAGCTGGCCCAACCTGCACGCATGCGCGAGTCACGTGGGCACGCGCCCTTCAAAATCCTGTACAATGTCTCTTTCATGTCATTGCTGTTTGGACTTTCGAGCGTGCAACTTGCGGAACAGGTGTTCCCAAAACAATTTCCTTCCCACCCTCCCACCCACTAGCTCAACTCATGTTTCTGGCGCACACGTGACGGTATCTGTATAGTCCATGAGAATATATGCTCTCAACTGGTTATGCATCTCTATTATATCTAGCATTTGGCGACTCTATTCAGAGTCATTGGCGGCTCCATGCGGAGGCATTGGCGGCTCCATGCGGAGTCATTCGGCGGCTCCATGCGGAGTAATTGGCAGCTCCATGCGGAGTAATTCGGCGGCTCCATGCGGAGTCATTCGCTGGCTCCATGCGGAGTCAATTGCCGGCTCCATGTGGAGTCATTCGCCTGCTCCATGCGGAGTCATTTGCCGGCTCCATGCGGAGTCATTTGCCGGCTCCATGCGGAGTCATTTGCCGGCTCCATGCGGAGTCATTCGCCTGCTCCAAGCGGAGTCATTTGCTGGCTCAGCTGCGAGCCATTATACCAGTTGCTCGAATCGGCACTCCCAGCTTAATGCAAAACTCGGTTGCTCTGTTGTGAGGTGGGGGGATGCTAATGGAGATTGTCTCTCCCTTTCTCCTCCTCCGGCACGCACCAAATCATTCGGTAACGAGAGTAGCGTCGCCAACCATGCCGGTTTTGTATATGGTGGTATAAAGTGCTTTCTTACGTGTAGGTGGTCAGGCGTAGTTGTACAATCGAATAAGCTCCAGCTTATAGTAATCGTGCGATTGCTTTACACCCCTACAGGCAATGTTTGGAATTCCAGTACTTTATGTGGGGTAGGGTACTACACTAGTTCCGCTTCCAGTATATCCATTGTACAGCGTCGGTGCATTATTTGTGCGTCAGTGGATGAATCTACAAATTCGTGTATGCGAAGCTAACTTTAGTAAATGCGCGTATAGCACACTGTGTGCTGGTGGCATAACTGTGTTTCGGAATGAGTGTGCTGCGCATACTGTGCGGGCGGACAAGTCCTGCGGTATCTGTCTTACTGAACGCATTGTGCGTTGTGCTATGTTAGATCGGTCCTACCTGATGAGTGCATCGTGCACTGAGCGTCGGCTATGATTCCTGGTGTAACTGTCCTAATTGACAAGCACATTATGCGCTGTGTGGTAAAACTGTGTTTCTGGATGATTGTACTTCGCATAGCGTGTTGGTGGACATGTCCTGGTGTAACTGTCTTACTGGATGAACGCATCGTGCGATGTGCTATCCCAGACCTGTCTTACTTGATGAGTACATTGTGCGCTGAGTGTCAGTGTTGATTCCTCGTGTAACTGTCTGAATTGACGAGCACATTATGCGCTGTGCAATGTCATATGAGTCCCGATAGAACTGTCTCACCGAAGGAGTGCATCGGGAGCTGTGCGATGTCCAACGGATCCCGGTATGTCTGACTGGAAGAGTGCATTGTGCGCTGCGAGGTGACGGTGGATGCCCAGTATAACTGTCTTACTGGAAGAGTGCATTGTGCACTGCGAGATGATGGAGGATTCCCAGTATAACTGTCTTACTAGAAGAGTGCATTGTGCGCTGCGAGATGACGGAGGATCCCCAGTATAACTGTCTTACTGGAAGAGTGCATTGTGCACTGCGAGATGACGGTGGAGGCCCGGTATAACTGTCTTACTGGAAGAGTGCATTGTGCACTGTCCAATGCCAGACGAACCCCTCTAGATCTGTCGCCCTGGATGATTGTGTTCTACACTGTGCGACGCCAGATGAGTGCCCATATAACTGTCTCACTGGATGAGCGCCTTATGCACCGTACAACGTAAGGCACTTCCAGCCCGGCAGTGTCCGCCGCCTCCCAATATCAATGTCTTACTAGTTGACGTATTGTGCAATGTACGATGTCAGTTGTGTCTCTGTACGATTGTCTCAATGACTGAGTGCATTACGCCACGTACAATATTGGTTTGAGTCCCAGTAGAATGGTCTTACCGGATGTACGTATTGTTTACCGAAAGTTATAATGTCGATTTCCAGTACTTGTATCATTGTGTCTCATTGGAGGAGTGCCTGCATACTGCGTGGGGTCAGCTGTGTCCTAGTCAAAATGTCTTTCTGGAGGCGTTCATTCCAGTCTTATTCGCTCATCACATTGTGTACTATACAATGTCAGACGGGTCCCCGCATAACAGTCTCTATGGGTGCATTGGGTACTGTGTAATGTCCGCCACCTCCCAATATCAATGGCTTACTACATGTAGTTGACGTATTGTGTAATGTGCGATGTCAGTTGAGTCTGTATGATCGTCTCGATGAATGAATGCGTTAGTCACATCTGGCTGCGGCCAACTACCCTTCACTTTGTGTGTTGTCGCTATTGCTGTCTATGTCTCTGTGTATGCCAGTGTATGTGGAGCGAGAATAGCTGACCTGCATGACTTGGACGAGACGAGATTGACATTGCAGAGACGAGGTTGACATAGAAGAAATAAGGTTGACATGGACGAGACGAGGTTGACATGGACGAGACGAGGTTGACATAGACGAGACGAGGTTGGAGACGAGACAAGGATTACGGAGGACGAGACGAATGGCGGTTGAAGACGACTGTGCACGGGATCTCATGCTCTACCGACTGAGATAGCCGGCAGAGAGAGAGAGAAAAGAGCTAGAGATCAAGTGTGAACGGGAAGATAAAGGGCCTAGGTAGCTATGACAAATATGGGCGCACAAGTAGCTACCCACACCAATGGAACAAAAGATGACAAAATGCGACTACGATGTAGTATGGGGTGCATGCAGACCAGCTTGGAAAAGGTTATACGGGAGGAGGTGCCTAACACATTTATATCCAATATAGATACTTTTCTGATGGACAACGCATAGGAATGTCTCGTCATGTGTGTTACCTGTACACAGAACGGTGATCTTCCTGTTCATAGCTCTGCCTCTGAAGGACATCTGGAAGTAGTGAAGTATCTACTAGAACTCCAACCCGACACGATCTCTGTGCAGGACAGTGTAAGTTAAGCAATCTCTATCATTGACTCTCCTTGCTGTAGTCAGTTACTCCTACAGCACTCTTCTTGCCAACGAGGACTACTGTGCTTCCTATAATTATGTCAATTGCTGGCGAGTATCAGTCTGAAACAGCAACCCCACCGATTGATATACTCCAAAAGTACCTGTGAATATTGGTGACTCTGCTGCCCGGCACTGACAGCTGGACAAAGCACCTCCATTATGCATTTGGTTCACATAAACATTGGTCTCAATCATTTCTGATGTGACCTCATGGACACGCTCATCATCAATTCAACACCTGTCAACAGGTATGTTTTGGTGTGTGAAGAGATGTCCATAAAATGATTCAAAAGAGTTCTTAGTATTGTATACTTGCGCCCATCATATGCCTCTCAACCCACAAGAGGAATATTGCAACATTACTTTGGCTCAAAAAGAATGCAAACTAACCAATCTCGTACCCAGCACTAAAGCATGTATTGGGGTTTTTCGAGCTTTAGCTTGTAAACAGTTTGTCAATTGACTTATCACAATGTTGTGCATGAGACTGCCTCACTTCGTAGTGGATTGTGCATTATACTCAATATAAGTACTTATCTGATGGATAACGTATAGGAATGTCTGGTCATGTGTGTTACCTGTACACAGAACGGTCTCCTTCCTGTTCATCACGCTGCCTCGAGTGGACAACTGGAAGTTGTCAAGTATCTACTAGATCTCCAACCCGACACGATCTCTGCCATGGACAATGTAAGTTGAGCAATCGCTATCCTTGATTGTCCTTAAGCATTTTTCCAGAACACGGTTTGAGCAATATATTCGATCGCAACAAGTAGCATCTAGTCACTCGCGCCAGGCCAGAGCAACAGAACTTAACCTTACGGATTCCACCATCTGCCAGAAGAGCAGACCATGGCACACCATTCACTCTTGGGTCCATACAGTGGCCCTCCCTACATACTAAAGTGATGTAAATAATATTTGCTGGAGTATGTATGGTTGTGTGTGTGTGGGGGGGGGGGGGGGCTGCGTGCGTTCGTGAGTGCGTGAGTGCATACAGCAAGGACAGGCAACTGTCTTAGCCGTTCTATGCTAGCTATATGTCAATTGGTCGGGGGAGTATGAGGCCGAAACAGCAACCCCACCAATTGATTTACTCAAAAAGTACCTCTGACTATTGGTGACTTTCCTGGCCGGGGTTGATAGCTTCACAAAGCACCTCCATTATGCATTCGGTTCACATAAACATTGGTCTCAATAATTTCTGATGTGAAAAAAAGAAGGATATTGGTGGATATTGTACATAGATAACAACATTTCGCTGGAAACCAGGATCGACTCGTTTCACCATGCGCACTGTACACATTTAGTATACGAAGCTGCCATACCTCGGGGTCTGTTCAGACTCACCACCGCGATGAACGGGTGTTTAGGTGTTTAGTAGAGAGGTTAAGTTGCACGTAAATTTCTTACGTACGTGAACTTTTACGTCAAAAATTCAAAAAATTCACGTACAATTTGACGTGTTCTACGTGAGTTGACTGCAACGCACGTAGGTTCGTGACGTGAGTTTTTTTGAAGTTCCGTGTGGTCATCCGAATCGGATTTGTGTGAGTATTTCGGTTTTGTGTGAGTATCCGTAGTTCGATAGGGTTTGCGGGAAGAATTGATTTTTGTTCTATGTAGCCGAAAATTAAATCTTTCTTCTGTGGACCGCTAAAAGTAAAAGCCGGAGCTGTTTTTATCTTGTTGTGCACATGTGGAGATCGACTGGAAAGGAAGTGTGACCCTTTAGTTACTAGAGCTGTCTTCTTTTGAGTGTTTGAGTGTTGCTTATCTGCCAAGATGAGTTCGCAATCTTCCCCTACAGCAAGTGAGTTCATACGCTTCAAGCTGGAGCACGATTTGCATTTGTTGTTAGTAGTGATGGGCAAGCCCAATACGTTTGGTAGAGGATCTAAAGACTGGGATGAGATCGCGGAGAGCATGAGGAAGACATTTGGCGACATGCGCGGCCTCACTGCTAGGACCTGCAAGGAAAGGACCATAAGAGAGATCCGATCCTTTGTCGTAAACGACAACAAATCCAAGAGAAGAAGCGGAACCGAGGAGGAGTTCACTCGGAAGGATGAGCTGCTGACGGAGCTCGCCTCACGGTGGAGGGCTGCCGAAGACGAGAAGGTGGAAGCAGGCAAAGCGAAGAAGACCAAAAATGACGGAGACGCAGTGAACGGTGCAAAGCTGCGTGAAGCAGCACTTCAAGGTATGCGTTCCAAGAACGTGACGCCTGTGAAGCGTAACAAGATCACTGAAGACCCTGAGCCGGACAGTGACGGTTCGGACGACTCAGGTGACTCGTCTTTGTCTGAAACTGAACATGAATCAGCACCCACACCGAAGAAGCCTGAGAAGAGAAAGAGGGCCACAAATGGCAGTGGGCGGCGTGGCGGTTCCGTTGGTGCCGGATTGCTGGACTGGCTAGAAAGAAAGACCAACGCAGAGATGGACTTACACAAGAGGGAGCTAGCTCTCAAGGAACGTGAAATGGCTTTGAGAGAAAAGGAATTGGAACTGAAGATGCGCTCGCAGTGACAGATGAAACTAATTTGCGGCGCTTGTGTTGACGTTTTGTGGTGCAATTTTTTGTTTCTTTCTTTACCACTGTATTGGCTGTTGCTGCCATTTTTACTATAGTCTTGGAACACATGCAACACACAGCACACACATACACACATAATCAGTTGTGTTTTTTTTTCATTTCTGTTACACAACTAAGGTGTTAAGTTCCTACAACCGCGGTTTATATCCTTTTCTGTTATACGTTCTCTTCCGCTTCTTGTTCTTCATAAGCTGTTGACGAAGCTTGATCGAGGCTAAGGCCTGTGGAGAATACATTAATACAAATTAAAGATGAATAGGAATCCTACACACTGGCTACAGAGGTTTTGTTGAAGCTATTTCATCCAAACAAGGTGATGTTACACCTTATGGTACATGTATGTTTATGGTAATGTACAAAGACTTTTAATTAAAATGTGTAAAGAATTGTTTTGACCGTGAAAGTATAGACCCAGCCATAATCCATACTATTTGAAAGGCCTGTGTCCATTACCATAAACAGACTTGTGAAGGAGCTTTATCCATGTTAGCACTCTTTATATAGGAGCTCTTCCCATTGGAATTCAGCTCCTTCCTCCACTACACACTTTGACATATCCAAAAGCAGAAAACTCCTTGATTGGTATCCAAATACAGCTTAGTGTGTTTTTAAATGCTCTTGCAGCCCCTGGAAAAATGTGTGAACAATAAATTACGTTTGGCCACGACAGCCAGAAAGCCAAAAGCCTTACAAATAAGTCTGTGTACATCACCATAAACAGACAAATATGTAGCACCATGTTTGGGCAAACATGGTGCTACTTAAATACAGACTTATTTGCATGACAGCAAACGTCTGGAGCCGGAGGAGCATTATCCTTGTCCATAGTTATCCATATATAGGATTTCCCTTGCTATTGGAATCCAGCCCTCTCCCTCACAACACACTTTTATTTTCTCCAAAAGAAGATTTTTCTTGATCGCTCCGAAATACAGCATATTAGGTTTTCGAAATGCTCTTGCCTGCCTACATGTGTTCTCGTCTATTCCACTGCCTGTCCAGCTTGAATTGCATTTAACTGGCTGTGTTTGCTTTGTTCTTTAATCTCATGAAATGGCTTTAAATGGAATACAAATAATAATTATGAATGTTCAGGAAGGTATAATTATTGTAAGTTATGTCCAACCATCATGTAGGGATGACCCGGGAATAAGGAAATGAATAAACTATGGTAAATCAGGTAAATTAAACACTCTCGCAATTTGAAAGTTCTTTTGCATACCAGTACATGTATTTCATCAGACAAACACCGAACAGACAGTCATGTAAATGGACTTCACATGGCCTTTTCACTCTGCCAGTGGCTGGAGGTATTCTTCAAGGTGTGGAGGGCGAACTCCAAACTTTCTGCTCGTTTGGTTCCTTCTCAAGCAACTGTGGCAGTTTGTCAAGAGGGTGGCAACACGGTAATACTGACCAATTGGGGAAAGAAGGAGCTTCAAATTTTTCTTGAAATCGCAGAAGGCGAAAAGAGTCGCAAGCCTCCCAAATCCCCATTCCACGGAAACACGCAGGCCACTCATCGTTGTATTGAACTCGGCTTGAGCAGGAGTGAGATTTACACCCCGGAATGGCGACTGGATGAAACGTTCCAATGCATACCCTTGGTCAGCATACAAGACAAGATCGTGTGGTGGGCCAGCCATGTGCTGTAACATCTGCAGTCGAAGGCCGCTTTCTTCCAGCATAGCCATATCATGACGCCGCCCTTCCATGGGACCGAACAGATGGGCTATCAGTCCGCAAGGTGTCATCAGTCCTTGATACTTGAGGCAGTGCGTTCTCTTGTGACCGCTGTACACAAGGCGTTGATCTATGCCAGGTCGGCAGATTCGGTTTATGGTCCCATCGAGGAACCCCCATATGTTCTGGTAGGGCGCCCCTGCATCAGAAACGGATTGGCAAAATTGTGCCAGCCGTTCTGGAGTCAGCCAAGGCGAGTCCAGTCTGTCCAGCAAGTGACTCCATTGGCCATGGATAATGGAGACCGTTTTATTCACTAGCATGGACAGTTCTGGAACAGAGATGCCGAACAGTTCACTTAGATCCACAAGTCGCCCAGGATATGATAGGCGATGGAGGACAATGAGGAGAGCAACATCGCCCGGAAAGGAAGACTTGTTGTACGTGCGGACCCGATTGGGAATCCGCAGAGCTCGCCTGAGACGACGCATGCGTCGCCTCCTAAATCGGAAAAGCTTTCGAAATCGTCCATTGGACAGTTGGCTTACATCTAGGAGACCACGCCTACGAATCCCACCGATATATCGCCTACGTTGCTCGGCTTCGTCTTCAGCTTCAGCCACAAGAGCAATAATGGCAACCAAGTCTATCTCATCCAGGCCTCCAAACTCCAAAGCAACAACTACGGCGGCAAGATCATCGTCGTCCATGGACACTCTTGTACTTTCAAGAGGTAGCTCAAGTGAATCACTACATGATGTAGCCCAGTCCACAATACTACAGCTCGATTGAGTGGAGAGAAAAAAAACACTACACTCTTTTTGTTCAATCCCTAAACCCGCGAAAATGTAGCTGTTCGAACAAATCCCGTAACTTACCATGGCAATATTTCACGTCATGGTGCACGTGTAACTTAACCTCTAAAAATTTCACGTAACGTGAGATTTGCACCGCGTTTTGAAAAAGGCAAAAAACGTGAAACTTAACCTCTCTAGTATCGATATCCAGCACATTCCCGCTTGCTGGGATGTACAGCTAGCCAATGCAGTAGCTCTCATTCGCCAAAGACATTCCCCACGCTCCCCGTTTATGGATGAAGCTGTCATTGCCGTTTCAAAAAAGCCGACATTGTCTCTCACACATAAATGACTGCGCTGTACATGTAGTGCATCACACCAGCAATCTGCTGTAGATCTACAGACAGTGCATGCAGCGAGCCGAGCATGCGCACTTGAGTAGGGTATTTGACTCCCTCGCGCGATCGCTGGTCACAACTGAGTCTGTACACGCGACTGTGCTCGTGTGTGTGACTTGCAAGTGCACTCTGTACTGCACTGATGTACTGTATGACTAGTCGACTGGACAGGAACAATGCAAGTGCAGTTTTCAGTGCGTGGACTCGGCTACTAAAACATTTTGTGGAAGCAAACAAGCCTTCTTTATGATCTTGGTCATTTTTCTCAATCGACTCTGCGCTTAGAGCTAGATGTGTCCGTGGGGTGTTGCCCAACTAGAACTGGAGTCCTCACATGCCCCAGGTCTTTCTTCTTCTTTTTTCTTCCTTCTTTTGCCATGGCTGGCTATAATCGCCCTCACCTCCTCCTTGATTGGCCTTGGCCATGAGTGTGTGCGTAATAATAATAATAATAAGTCGGGGCGGATAAGACTCCCTGGTACATGGTGGCAATAAAACATCATTCAGCTGAATACATTGAAAAAAAGCAAAATTGTTCATGTAAAATTTAGGGGAGCAACTGTATAAACAAAATCAAATTGATTTTCATGCGTGTCTGTGGCATGGCTGTCAAACTTCGAGTTGTGTAATGTGGCGCTCAGTCCCTGATACAAATTTAGTGTTGGGGCTCCAAAAAATGACAAGTACATTGGTTGTGTCATGTACTCAAGCGCAGCAGCAATTAGAATACAGTAGCAATGACTCTGAGCCGACATAACGAGAAAGCTTGGAAGCTCAGGGCCCTATGCTATGCTTTTTTGCCTTGATGACCTTGGCAAAAAGAAGCAGAGGGATGTTATAAAATTTTCATTTCTCCTATTTCTTTAGACATAACCTGAGATTCGAACCCGCACTATCGCCCTGCATGCACCCCCCGATACACTTCGCATACATACTAATTCTTCCAGGTTGCTTCACGTTATGATCTTGCATTTGAAAGTCCTATTTGAATATTGTGGCCAGCTGTTTGTGGCCGGCCGTATTTGATGGTACGGTACGGTACGGTACGAGACAGGTACGGTCGAGGGTGATACAACACCGTCTACCACCTTGATGACCTAGGCAAAAAAGTGTAGAGATGTTATAAATTTTTCAATTCTGGTGTACTAGCTGTGCTAGTACTTGTTAGCAACAATCCGAACTAGCGCACACACTGCACTGCATTGCTTTGTACTGCATTCAAGACTGACGTCATGCGCTTTGTTTTGCTGCGTAATCACGAATGGCACCAGCCCATTTTGCGGAAAAGAAAAACAAATCTTGCTTGCCCTGTTGTGCTCTTCCAGACAACGGATCGTGCTTCAGCAGTGTTTCTTTTCCTATCGTAGCTTTGCTGCCAGCCCGAGTGTCACCTCGACACTGTATTTCTTCAGTATGTATGACCTAAATGTCGACACTGTCAAGGCAATGCCTTGCCAAGCCCTCCGCGGCGAGCCTTCTCAGCGTGGCTTGAATCCGAAAGGAAACTTAGTAAAAGTATTTTACATGACGGTTTGCTGGCACAACTAGCCCTTGGTAGTGAGGTCTGCTCCGGCCAGGAGAACCAGCAACATGACAGTGCGGACACGGCTCGCGAGCCCAGAAGCCCGACTTGCACCAATGCCTCCTCCGCCAGCTCAGGTGACGCGGGCTCAACGGATCTCTGCGCTCTCGTACGGGACAAGGTGTAGTCGGTTTTGTCGGCCGCCATTATATTATTATCGGGGAGCATTGTGCCGCCCCTCACCCAAGGCCAAGGCAATGCGGCTGCTGCCGCCACTACGCCAGGCCAAGCTCCTGTAACCCACCCGATCAGCCACCTGCACCAGCTGTGCCCAAGGCTGTGCAAGAACCTATCTTGCGAGGGGAATTCGTAGATTTTTCAAGTTTGTTGCCTGAAATTCTTGCACACTTCCGGCCCAACATTCCGGCTGGTGCACAGCCCGAATAACGATAGCCAGCTAAATATCGTTGAGTCGGATGACGCGAAGCAGGTGCATCGCAAGGTTCACGATAATTATACATGTAGTTACCCGG